AAGAACTGGTAGGATCCTCCTAAGATTCCTTCTTAGGAGGAGAGCCAAGGCATAGTCTCACTCAACCTGGATTTTCTGCAGCCACTAGTCAGCAGGAGAGACCGGAGAAGGGCACAGAGAATACTCCAGCCTCAAGAGATGAGATCTGGAGGTTCATCCAAACCACCTCAACACAACATGAAGGACCCAGCAGAACCTGCAGGGGAACTTCTTTCCATCAGGTGTGGTAACAACAGGCTAAAAAAATAGCTTAGCTAATACAAACACGCAGATGAGATTTACGCTGCTGTTTCACAATCCCTGGACCACTTCATGGTCACTTGATACTTAGTAGGAATTTATATCAGCCAAGCACAAAAAGACACTGAGAGACATCAACAGGAGAATAGTTTAATTTTGTTATGAGATATTCCACTCTTCTATCTCACAGAAATCCAACTGCCCTCTGGTTTAAGAATAGCAGAGAACTAGAAACCAAAGCATTTTAACATCTGCCAGAGAGAAATCAGAGCTTTAGTGCTTAAAAGTATGCCTGGGGTGAAAAGCCTCCTTCAGCTTCAAACACAAGTAGAAAAACTCTCAAGAGAAAGGCCTCAGAAAAAGCAGCAGCAGGAAGCAGCTTCTTTAGGCTGTTTTGCTATATGAACAAGTCCAAAGGTTTTGAGAGAGCACAGCAACATGCTGTCTAGATGTGACAGATACAGGAAATACTGATACTGAAAGGAGAAAATTCCAGCAAGGTGGAGCTGAAAAAAAAAATAGGATTTGAAAACTGAAAGGGGACTCAAAACAGCCACAACTTTACAGAACAGAAGACCCCTTTTACCACTTTCTCTGAACATTATTCTGTGCAAGTATTTTCTTCTTTGTACAGAAAATTGATTTCCAGTAGCATTTCAACTCAAGTTTTAAATACAGTGCTTCCACTGAGGACTCCTCTGGTCATTTCTTTATGTATCCTATCACTCTGTACTCTTCTAAACATGACTGGGGGAGAAGGAAGGACTCAATGAAGAGAAGTTATACCTGTATCCACTGAAGAGACTCCATATGTGTAACACTGGGTCATGCTGCCAAACCTGGCCTATTTCCTTTTGCAGACCAAAGATACAGATCATGCTTGAAATTGCACCAGAAGTGCACTTATTTGATGACAAAACACATCCTGCTCTAAATGGAGATAAGCCCTACTGACTGCAGGATTTTCAAATGGCTGCGAAAATGCTGCATGTTGCAGCAGGCATTCAGAGCTTTTACATGCATTTGACAGATTTAATCAGGTCCAAGTTACACTCTTTCTCCAGTTCTTTTTTGTCTTTTTCTAAATGTTTGTTCTATCTGTTGAAATTGAAAGGTTAAAAGCAGCTGTATTTTCTGCCTCAGGGACCAGGCTTCTGATACCCATGAAAAAATCGCTTCAAACCCTGCTCCAGGGTGAAGTCCTAACACTTCAGTCAGTCTCAGCAGCAGGAGTGCAAGTTTTTGGTATGCTCAGCTGTCCCCTGGGCACAAGATGGACAAAGCCCCATGCTCTTTGGAAACATTTGCACATTGTGTTGTGCCTACACCAGTAAAAACATCTCAGTGCACCTGCATTAGCAGTAAGAAGGGGATATGAGCGCGTCACCTTCCCAATTGCTGGTACGAGTTACTGACAAGCTTGTCTCAAACGGGTATTGCGGTGAGATGGTGCAGCTCCTTCAGTCATGCCCACTAGCCACACGTGGCCAATGACAGCAACAGAGTTGTCAGTTAGCAGCATCTTACCTATTCCATGTTTTCTGAACTCCTTCACCACGCCAAGACTTAGGATGTAAGCAACTTGAGTGTCCACAGGAAAATTGGAAGCTAGGATGTCTCCATCCTGAGTAGAGATACAACAAGTTATTTAGTAGGATACCTGGGGAGGCACAGAAGACGGCAAGAATCCTGTACTGGAACATCTGAAAACAAGGCTATAGCAGGAAACTTCTCTTCACTGAGCAGTCTTAGCTGAAGCTTCTGGAAAGGAGATGGGGAGTAGCATCTTCCCAGACGCAGAACACAAATCATGATGTTTCCTTACTACATACATTCTTTACCACAAAGGATTCAAAGTGCCAATTCTGGAGTTACACATCAGTGACTAGATCAATCCAGCAACAGTTTTTATTGCCTGCACACTCCATCTGAGCTTCGTGTCAGCTGGAGATCTCTGTACTGCTGTAGAGAACAAGGAGCATTTTCTACAGGCTCAGTTGCCTGGAGCAGTGTCTGAATAAGCCCCTAGCTTTCAGCTTGGCTGGAACAAGAGCCTTTTGTTAGTTGCTGAGGATGCAGTTTCTGACTTTGACTAGCTTTGAGGTGAAGCCAGATAGCTAGAGTGAAGAGACCAATGCCACTCAATGCTCTCAGTTCCTACGCATGTTAAGATTATCGTTCAACCATAACACTGATGGCCTTTTAGAAGTTATGCACTATCTGCATTGTCCCTGCTTTTTTTTTAATCCACTTGCCTATGCTGTTTTCCCTA